CGAATAAGATTAATAAGAGATACACACAAAAGTATAAAAGCTAACTTTCGCACAAAATGATCATCAACAGCTCTTTTCGATCCACTGTTGACAAAAGGCCTCTACAAATTTCGCCTCGAAACTCTGTCTTGAGCGATTCTTATCCACGCTGCTTCAATAAATTTCATAAGCTAATCGTGTTATCGATCTGGAAGTTATCTTCTTACTGATCGCTTATTTTCTTGAAAATCGGTCTAATATCTCCAGTTCCAACGATGGTTCGATCTTGCAGCCTGTACGGTCCATTGCGATTTCAACTGTCCCATTATTGCAATGACATCACGGACTCCTTTTATAAATAAAGTTTCAGACTGGATTCAAAAACTACGATAAAACGCTGCGCGACATATGCACAACAGTACCGTAAACGTCACAACATCCCAGCGGTTACACGCCAATTCCATTCCATTACTTCACTGAGAGTCTTAAGGTCAGAGCGAGTGTTGCGTAAATAGCCGGAAATGAACGTATTGCCAGAAGTCATAAAAAAACGGGAGACAGGCACAGCCGCTTAATTAAAATTCTGACAGCTGGCAGAGAACTTCCCGATATCCGTCAAGTGGCGAAGAAAGACTTACAGAAGAGTGTCCAAAAGTTCTAAAGTAACTGTCAAGAAGTCCTAATAATTCATAGTTTCATCAAAGATATCAAAATAATTTACATATACCATGGGTTAACGCGTTGTATGCAACTGAGACGTTAGAACAACTGAGTAACTGCGCAGTTTTGCGGCAGTAGTTGAAGCACGACTGCCAGGGGTGTTCGATCAGAAGTGTTTGACTCACAAGCGAGCAATGCCCGGTTTGAGATACGGTAGGGTCATTCACCTTTCTTCCTTCCGAGGCTGATAAAACGATACCACTCGGTGGCAAAGAAACAGAAGACTACACATAACTTACATATGCCTACTACGCAGCTGCTGTCAACTACTGCGTTTAAAGCAACACGGCACTTCTGGCTGATGACATGGAAATAGAGATCAGCGCTTTATCATTAATTTCTTAAAAACACAGGCGTTAGAAATGGCGTCATCACGAACGTGTAAAAAAGAGCAGTATGATGCACAAATGACGTAACGATAACCTCGCAGAATTTACCGCATTTTCCCGACTGGCGAAATCAATTTTCAGCATGTTCATTGCTCGAATAATCGCCATCATGCTTTGCATTGTGTTCGAATAGACCACCGGTTTATACGCTTTCCTTTCCTCTTCTGAGTAGCCCGTCTCGTGAATGATTCTGAAATCAGTCACACGGTAGGCATTGGCAAAAGAATGCGGAAACAACAGCAAACAGTTAAACAACAGCAAGAAACCGATCTTAGATCATACAGATGATTACCGATCATTTAATTACTTGAAAAAAAGATCTTAATCATTATGGATAAAGAGACGGCTAGAAATGTGAAAAAATACATCCATTATGTGAAGGTTCTAAAAACTAGAATAAAAACACTGTTGTGGGTTAAGAAGACTTCAGACAATAAATATTTTTTCCAGCCTACTAAAAGTCTCTTTCTTTAACCAGTTAATTAAATGCTCTATTTCACTGATTAAGAGTACTACAAGCCACAGCTCATAAACAATCTGTACAAAAAACGACTTAATTCGAGCAGGAAAATCAAGTCCAGCTTTGTAAATTAGATCCACGCAACAGTGGAGCCATAAACTGTAAAAAAACAAGTGATCTGTCAACAAGTTCAACTTGTACTCTATCTTAGAGAACTGCATCTCAAGTTAGGACATGCTGAAAGTTACAACCGCTGTTAATAGTAAACCAGATTCGATATTCCCGTCGTGCAAAGCGGGGAAATACCAGACAATCGGATCGCTTACTAACCAAAATTTTCTACAATCTCAGCCACTATGGCAGTCGTTCTGGCCCGCTATTTAATCAGGTAGGTCGGTTAATGAGATTCTCGCCGACTTGCTCTCTATGTGAATAAGATAGCCTTATTCAGAAGAGATAAAAGGGTCACTGAAGGCGTAATTCCTTGAAGATAAAACCAGGATAAAATCGTTTTTTTTTCAGTGCATTACGAAGAGTGACCACTCACTGAGCAAAAGCTCAAGTAAAACTTAAAAACGTTCGTCCCAAGCAATGAAAGTATAAAAGATGCTTATACAGATAGGTGATTTAACAGTGCAGTATTAAACAATATGGTACTGACTCCAGAAACATCGTCATTGACGAGATACGCACCAAATAAATTGATGAGAGGTGCACTTGGTAATGTAGATGTTAAAATAGAGGCAATAATGGACTGCGTAGATGGGTTATTAAACGTTTATGACCAACGACACTGTGCCATAAGCCGTGTCTTCGATTTTTTAGGAGTTAAATGTATGCAAAAGCAGTAGCAACATATATTCAGCAATTTTTGCATTTGATGCTGACATATTTATTAACAGATAGATCCCCGGGCCTCGTGCTGTATGGAGTAAACCTTTTTAAGACTGAGTGATATATCTATATTCATATTTCAACAAGTTTTATTACAGATAATCAAAATATAGTGTGTCAATGCAGCTCCGTTAAACATGATAAAGAGAGCAATGACAAGCATTTACCTGTTCTAAGAAATGTTGTCACAATGCTTTCATTAGACAAAATATACTTGCGGTTCTGTCAAGATGTACAGTTTCCATTCATCTTCTCTTTAAGAATTAAAAGACACCTAGCAATGAACGAGAAAGGCGTAATTACAACGCATTACACATTATCACCCTCCAGAATAACACAATACCACAAACATATATGCTATACAGCTTATCATACAGGCTGCGTATCTGCGAACTGGTATCATCATCATTAATTTTCGACTCACTGACGGACTAAAGCCCCTTCAAGAATTCCCCACAAACATTCGTTTTCTGCTGTATTTGTTCATCTTGATCCAGCGTCTCATTCTGTCATGGATTCGAATGTTTACTTAAACTTCAGACTTTGTCGAACGCCAGTTTCGGTCCAACGACGGTGATTTCGGCACTTTCTGTAACTTTCCTTGCCCACTGTCACTTTAAATTCTTCAATCAAACAGTCACTTCCTAGGTTTCGGCTTTTTCTCTTATCGATTCGTTCATCGCCTTATTTCTTCTTGTTATTCCTTAGATGCATATTTCCATGCTGCGCTGCATAATCTGAGCTCCATAAACAGCTCTGAGACATGGTCCATGCTTCGCATTTATAGGTCAGCATTGGGAGCACACACTGATCGAAAAACTGTCCTTTTAATCACTAGGGCGGTTTCACGAATAAGGGCGTTTTCATTCTTCCAAAAACGTCATTGTTATTCCCCTACTTTTTCTCTCCTCTATAGCGAACCGACATAATTACGTTTAATAAGAATAACATAACAATTTATCACTGCAAAACCGAAAAATGAGCAACAGTACGGTACAAAGTTCGAGCATTTTGTTGTGCGTTGCTGCTTTAACCATGTACTAAAAAACCATCTGCGGTAACCGTAGTGGCGGCCGCGAACAGAATATTTCAAGGAGTAAATGTTCTTTGAAGTTTCGGTACTTGCTGCTTATTTGAACATGGGGTTCATTTGCAGATTGGCTGTCCATGGCTAGGAGCACCAGAAAAAAGCGATGGCAAATCTGTCACTGCGAAGTGAGTTTCAACAGGATGATGAAGGAGTTACTATGCCCGCTGAGGCTAACAACAACGGTAGGTCAACTTGGCGCCTTCAACTATGGAATAACAAATTCGGTACAATTTTAACAATAAACCCAGAGACGTCAACGCCCAATATTACCGCTCATGCGCGGGTAGCCATAATAAAGGGCAGAGAAAGAAGTAAGCTCACTGAAGGGTCGTTACGGTAATTTACGACGTCAAATTTACTAGATACTATTAACGTGGACATTCGTATTAGCATTATCATAACACTTTTACTTTAAGAGGAATTTTCAAAAAGAAATAGACAATAAGGTGTTTACGTTGATAGATTAGCACTACTGCATTGCACCAATGTAACGAACAAATTCTACAAACAGGTCACAGCCAGAAGCATTACAACCTGTAGACATACAAAACATAAATTATAACTTTTACGGCAATAACGTTCATTTCTGGAATCGAATTGTATGCGCAAATTATTAGGGGCAGGGAGTGAAGGTGCAAGAACACTTATCGTGAGGCCAGTTGAAGAATACTTTCCTTAATAAGGAATGATGGCCACCATTCTCAAATCTAGTGTCAAATCAAGCAGTGATAATTGATGGTCTACATAAATAGTTGTGCCTTGAAAGCAAATTTCTTCGGAAAAGCATCACTACAAAACTGGACTGAAACAGATACAAACGACGATCAGTGATAGTCGGCACTTTCTCGCCAGAAAAGAGTTGATCTACGCATCGAAACGTTCGTTTTGTGAGAAGAGAATTAAACATTAGCAAACAGCACAGTTGTGGTGCATAATCTGTGATAAGCAGAAACACACATGAAAGCGAATTTTAGATCGTAGAAGAGCAAAAGCTTTGTCACCTTGCATTTTGAAGACAGGAAAGAGAAAACATACATGTCATACAATCAAGGGAACATCGATACAAGTGTGACATATGCCACAGGCGGTTTGCCACGTTGAAAACTAGACTGTTCGGGAATTTGAAAATGATGCTGCGCTTGCATGATACGTCCTAATTTATTTAAGCAATAAATAAATCGAAAACACTCATTTCAATAAACAACTGATGAACATTAAACTGAGCCTAATGTTCAGACGCTCATTAAACTATCGCCGAAAGTCAAAAGCACGCAGAGAAATCTCCGCGTCTTGCACAGTATTTAAATGTGTTGAGATATTAACATTTAAAATTTCTAGAGCTTAACACTGAAATTAAATTTACCTTTATGTGCAAAAAAAATATTCTCTGTATGCGGCGACAAAAAAACTAATCAACTTCACCAAGATATTCATGGAGCTGCGGCCAGATTAAACGATACCCTAGGATACTAGAAGCAACTATGTTCTGTGAATCTGGAACAGCAACAGGAGATTGTTATTCTCATCATAAAATCGTAAACAAGCCATTTGCCATAAAACCCTAATAAAAGGGCTGTTTTTTGTTATATATGCCTATGAATCGACGTATCTTCGTTGGCGTTTCAACACGTTCTTCCTTGACCCCTCGAAATATCGGAAACCAGGTTGTAAAATATAAGGAAGCCTGACATGCTCAAATGGCACCGTATGCCACTAGGAGCATGGTGGAGTCATGGGACTACGACATGGCAATTGAGAGAATGACAGAAAGAAAATATTCAATTAAGTGTTTAGTGCACGGCTGTTTTCAACAACTCAGTCTCCGAATCGCCGCCTCCCAGTTAAGAGGAAAATGAGAGAAAAAATGGAAAATCAGAAAAACTACTTTAAAAACTATTAATGAGCAAAAGCTACTTACTTCATCTGCTTCACAATGGTACTTTTTCCGGATTCGCCGGCGCCAAGAAGAAGCAGCTTTACCTCTCGAGCCGCTCGTTCGCCATCCGCTTTCAGCTGGTCGTCGATGAGCTTCGAACGCATGTACGCTGAGCGATCAGTACTATTCACGCAGCCCATCGCTTTTCAAGCAATCTGAAACGGCGATGCAATGAAAGGCTTCAATCACAAGCAACAATGGAATTAAAGCAACTGAGCGGTCAACAGAATAGCAAAAACACCTCAGCAAAATCATGGTATTTATTTAATTTCGCTTAAATCTGCATATTATACTTGATGGGAGAACTGGACCCTATCACGCACACTACTTTCTAAAAAACTGTATGAAAATTTTGTTTTAAAAAACTGTAAACTGTATGTATGTAAAAAACTGTATGTATGTAAACTATGTATGCATGTAAACTGTATGTGAAAAAACAGTATGAAAATGTTTGAAAACTTTTCTAAATAAAATGTACGCGCCTGATTGAACGGACGATGAACCCGACTACTATTATATATGATTAAAGTAGTTTATAA